TTTTTCTTTTGTCTTCCAAGGCTGGACTAGTTGTCTGGGAAGAGTGGAGGATATTCAGGTGAGGGTCCCGTGACCCTGCTTGGCACTCCTTTAATGAATGAGCACAACCATCAACAAGCCCAATTGTTACTATGTTTAGCAATCAGGCTCAAGCTGAAGTCTTGATGGTAGTTATTTCATGCAGAAGGGACTACTGTATATCATCATCTTATTAAAAGGACCTGGAATTTAAAAGGATTTCCTGCTAGGAGCCACAGATGAGAGAGAACATACATCATTTATTTTTCTGAGTTTGTGTTACTTCACTTTTGGATGGAAATCTTATCAGATATGTTTTATTAATATTTTTAGTCAGTGGCTTGCCTTTATTTTTACATATTATTAAATAAATATGCAGAGCTTTCTGGTAAAAACATTTCAATTCATAAGTAAAATTTTAATAATCACAAAGGAAAGTTCATTGATAAATAAAAGTGAACACAGCAAATAAACAGAATCTCAAGTACAGTAAGCACCTACTGTCTCATGGTGTCCTGAACCAGTACTCTGTGTGTGTGTGTGTGTGTGTGTGTGTGTGTGTATGCATCAGGTGTTATGAGTGTGTGTACATGCATGTGTGTGCCTTCAAAAAAGCCCATAGAGCTCTTTTTCACTGTCTTCCACTTGGACCTCCTGGAGACAATGTGTCTGGGCTATCCTCCACCACTAGGAAGAAGATAGGAAACCAATGCAAAATTTGCAGATTTGTGTAAAATTTGTGCAAAATTTGTCCAAAAGGTTGCATAATTTTTTTAGTTCTTCACAAAAAAATTCCTTGGGGGCTGGAGAGATGGCTCTATGGTTAGAAGCACTGACTGCTCTTGCAGAGAATCTGAGTTCAAATCCCAGCACCCACGTGGTGGCTAATAGCTGTCTGTAATTCCAGTTCCAGGGGATGTGATGTCCTCTTCTGACCTCCATGGGCATTGCACAACGTGGGTGCACCTATGAATATGCAAGCAATACAGTCATACACATAAAATAAAAATAATAAAGATTTTTTTAAAGTTTACTTGAGGTAGATGATTAGAAAGTCAAGGAGGGTACATATTCCACTGGGACAGATTTTAGTAAGGATCAAATATATGTTACAATATGAGTTAGGTAATTTGAGAGATTGTAGGATGGAGATCTATACTTTGTACCATTAAAACAACAACAACAACAACAAAAACCCTTTACAGGCCAGGCAAAAATCACCCAGGTATGGAAGATTCCAGCTTCCTGAGAACCACTGTAGACTGGCTGTAGCTGTGCAGTAATAACTTTTCTTTTAGACTGCTGGAAACAAACTTGGCTTGAAATGCCGAGGAGTCAGGTGTTTGAGTTCTGGTGTCCTTGTGCTGCTAAGGGTTGCTTGAGCCTTTTTGTTTTCTTTGTAATTTTTGAAAAACAGGGAGGTTTAAATTTTGATGAAGAACACAATGGTAACTTTTTCTTCGAGTGCTAACATGAGTTTTATGTCTGATTGTAGGACGAGGATTTGACAACTTGACCTCTGTCTATCTTGCACGTCATACTCCTACAGGAACACTGGTAACTATAAAGATTACAAATCTGGAAAACTGCACTGATGAACGTCTGAAAGCTTTACAGGTAACGTTATGAAGAAAGGACATGTTTACTGTAATGTCCACTTGAGGAGATTGCATCTATAAGACCTCCCACCCCCAGTTGATAGTTCTATTAGGGAAAGTTAGGTTTTTTGTTTTTTTTTCCTTTTAATTATTATGCGGTTACCAGATTGGAAAGAATACTTGCAAGCCAGCTCCATTAGAAAATCAAATATATTCAAACTTTGGTAACTACTATGAATTCCTTCAAGTGAATGTCCTATTTCAAACGCTAGGCTGGAGACTGATAACACCTAGTCTTTCTGATCGCAAATAATCATGTAGAGAAACAGGGAAATACAAGCAATTTCTTTTTCATTCATTTAAGCAAAATTAACCTCCGAATTGATAAATTTTGACAATTATATTTCAGGCATATAAAGCCATTTTTTTGTTCCTAATCATTTTTATATAAAGGGAGAAAGAATTTTATTTTGCTGTTGTCTTAATATTTATATGGGGCTGGTGAGATGGCTTGTACTCACAAGGCACTCATTACCAAGCCTGACAACCTGAGTTTGAGCCCTGGAGCCCACACAGGAAGAGAAGAGAACTGACTTCCACAAGTTGTCCTCTGACCTCCACATGTGCACTGTGGAATGGCTATGCTTCCCCCACAAAAAAATAAGCAAATGTGGGACTGGAGAGTTGGCTCAGCAGTTAAGAGCACTGGCTTTTCTTGCAGAGGACCTGGATTCTATTCCGAGCACCTGTATGGCAGCTAACAACTGTCTGTAACTCCAGTTCCAAGGGATCTGACTCCCTCTTCTGACCTTCATGGGCACTGCATGATATGGGTGAACTGACATACACGCAGGCAATACACTCATACACATAAAATAAAAATAATAAATAATAAAAAGTAAAAATATAAAACACTTTAAAAATATTTATATGTGCAAATATATATAGCATAGACTAGGAGAAACTATGCAAAAATGTTAATAGTGCTTCTCTCCATGATGTGGCATTACAAGTAACTACTCTTGTTTTTACATATTTTAAATATTTCTACATTAAAAAGTTAAGAATATTTATTAAGTGTATTCCATTTGGAGTCAGATTAATTCACACCCTACTTCATTTCTTTCACTGTGTACTTTTGGACAAGTTTTCTAACATTTTTACTTAAAATGTTGTTATAAAATGGGAATCACAGTCACATATTTCATGGGTGGCTATGAAACTTAGAGCTGAAAGCACTAAGAACAATGCTAACTGCTAAGCCTTTGAGTGTTAGCTGCTACCACTGCTGTTGTCTTTGTAATGTCAACGAAAACGCTTCCTTCAAATGTCTTTTCTATGTTTATCCTAGAAAGAAGTGATTCTTTCTCACTTTTTCCAACACCCTAATATTACTACTTATTGGACAGTTTTCACTGTTGGCAGCTGGCTTTGGGTTATTTCTCCATTTATGGCCTATGGTAAGAAAATTGATTTTAAATGAAACAACTGTTATTTAGCTTAGATGCTATCATTGTAAAGATGAGTGGGATCGTCTATCTATGGTTCACAACTTATAATTTATGAATTTAGTGACCAATTCTAGATTTTGTGATGTATTTCTGGTTCAAGTTGACTTTTCATCTTCAGACAAAGTAGAATGAGTATGCTGATCAGTGAAACCACCACTAATTCTCTGAAAGTTCCATGCATTTGCAAACACTGTCTCCAATTTTCTTCCTTCTCTCAGTGGAGAGTAACTGCTATTTTGTAGGCAGTAGTTTCCCCACATAAGCACTCCATCCCTGCCCCTGCTTTATTATACTATAAACTGATTTTACTGTATTCTAAATATCCTGTGTGTGCCCATCTCCCTTATTTGTGCTTTTCAAAGGCAATGATCATTTATATTTTCTATTTTGGTGTCCCCAGGTGTTTAGCCTAGCACAGTATTCAAAAAGTGTGCCGAATAAATAAGTGAACTGATTCTGGGGCTTTGATTTTTTTTTTTTTAGAATGGTTCTTGTGAATTACTTCTAGATTTAAAAATATTACATGTACAGTATACTTTTTTATTCAGTAATATTGAAAAAATATTCTCTTATCTCTTAGAAAGTCATTAGAAAAAATCATGGGTGTAGGTGCATGTATGCATGCATGCGTGTTGCTGTGGTTGAAACCCAGAGCCTTGAGCATACTAGGTAAATAGTCTGCCTTTGAGCCATATCCCTAGACAAAAATAGAAATCTTGGCCTGTGGTGGTATACACTTTTACTCCCAGCCCTTAGGTGGCAGAGGCAGGTAGATCTCTGTGAGTTTGAGGCTAGTCTGGTCTACATAACAAGTTCAGTGCCAACCAGGGCTACACAATGAGAGCCTGTCTCAAGAAAAGGCCAAAGGCCTGTAAGCCTAGCTACTTGGGAGGCTGAAACAGGAGGATTACAAGTCAAGGTCTACTTGAGCTGCAGTATAAGTTCAAAGAGAACTTGAGAAACTTAAGTGAGAGTCTAAACACACACACACACACGGAGAGCTGGGGCTATAGCACAGTGGTAATGTGGTTACCTAGCATATTTGAGGCCCTGAATCTCAATCACCTGTACCACAAAATAATAATAGTATAATAATAGTAATAAAGATTGTTGAAGGAAAATCGTATTTGCATTGGGAAAGTGTCTAGACTCCAAAAAAGTAACAGATAATGTTGTTTGTTTATAGTTGAAAAGAATATTTAAAATGTAACTGGCAGGAAAATCACTTTCAGTTCATCTAAAGATTTCAGGACTTTCTTTCAGGTTCAGCAAGTCAGCTCTTGAAGACCTACTTTCCTGAAGGAATGAGTGAAACTTTAATAAGAAATATTCTCTTTGGAGCAGTGCAAGGGTTGAACTATCTGCACCAAAATGGCTGTATTCATAGGTATTTTTTATTTATTATTTAAGTCTAGTAGGAAGATTTTAGTAAGGAGCAGTTAAATGGTGGAAAGGAGGGATAAGAAATTCAGAATGACAATTGAGTTAGGGGCCAGGCCAATAGATAACTGGGTGCTTACCCTTTATGTCCATTCATCAAGACCACAGGCTGTGCCAGGCACTGTCTTTGGTCCTGGGTTTCAGCACCTTCCCCCATGGAGGTCACAGTCATAGCCTAAGGAGGCACTGGAGAACTTAAATGTTCAGGTTATTGGCTGAGATTTTTCCTCTTTTTCTTTTTAACAAAATAAAGAGCATCCTTTTTGCTGTTCAGATGTCATGTTTATATCTTATACAAATTATAATTAATCCTTTCCTCAACTTCTGAACTGTTTTGCAGCCCTTGAGGTCGCCATACTAAATGTCAGTTTTCTCATTTGCAGCTGCAGAAGTGACTGGCTGACATGAGCAGCAGTGTTCTTTTGGGACTTAGTTTTGATTTTTAGTTAAATTAATTTTAAATAAGCTTGCCTTTTGTTGTTTGTTTTAATTTCCTTAAAGTTTTTTGTTTTACAATTTGTTTTTTTTAGCAGCATTCTGCTTAACTGAGGATTTCAAACTGATCAAATTAGAATTGAGGTTTTCTTAACCTAGCAGGATAGATATTGGCTGTCCTGCTCTATTAATATCCAAATTTAGTGTTTTAGATGAAAAAATAAGACTCCTTTATCACTTAAATGACAGCTAAAGAAAACTTTTAAGATGGCATATTATAAATGTTGCTATACCACAGAAGCTTTCATTGTTTCATTTATCTTAAGTTATAAGCTTATGTTTTAAATACTATTCATGTACTTTTAAAGACTTCTGTAGTGCTTTTGCAGCAGCATTCTAAAAGAGTGAAATTAACTTGACTTCATTCCTTTAAAAAATTTACCAATTCCAAACATGTAGCTTATAGTGATAGCTTCCCTTGTTCTAGTGCTAGGTTAAGTACCCACAAGAATTCCTTAATTCCTCTGCAAAATTTGTATTAAGACAGTATGTTATATGCTGCTCTCTTATAAAGGGTGTTTAATTTCCATGGGATGCAGGGATTTGTTCTCATCAGACTTCTTTCCTCATTGGCCAGATTCCTAGTACTTAGGATTGTTTCTTTTTGTTCTAGGAGTTTTAAAGCCAGCCATATCCTCATTTCTGGTGATGGCCTGGTGACCCTCTCTGGCCTGTCCCATCTGCATAGTTTGGTTAAGCACGGACAGAGGCATAGGGCTGTGTTTGATTTCCCACAGTTCAGCACATCAGTGCAGCCGTGGCTGAGTCCAGAACTACTGAGACAGGTCAGGTGTGGCCGTTGCATTGGGTTGTCTGTGCGTCTCAAATGTCTTGATTTTGACTAAAGGACACTTGAGTTTTTGGACTGGTGAATGGCCTCCTGCAAGACCTTTTCTCTTTCTTGTCAAAATTGTGTTAGGAATTTTAAATTGTAAAACCTGAAATTAGGCAGATCTTCATTTTGTGCTTTGGGGGTTATTTTTTCATTGTTCACCCATTCTTTATCAAAAAGGCACCTGTTTATGAAGTTATTTATACTAATGATTTCAAATTCTGTTTATAGGATTTATATGGATACAATGTGAAGTCAGATATTTACAGTATTGGGATTACAGCATGTGAATTAGCCAGTGGGCAGGTACCTTTCCAGGACATGCATAGGACTCAGGTAAGTACTCCTGAAATCCTTGCATTTAACTTTGATAGGCTATCTTACATTCTAAATCATTTTTGTTGATCATGTCTATTGTAGATTCTTATGAACTTTATGGCCATTTTGTTTAACTATTTTACCTAAAAAGCATTTAAGAATATTTTCCTTTTTCCTAGATGCTGTTACAGAAGCTGAAAGGTCCTCCATATAGCCCACTGGATCTTAGTACTCTCCCTCAGTCAGACTCTAGAATGAGAAATTCCCAATCTGGAGTAGACTCTGGGATTGGAGAGAGTGTGCTTGTCTCAAGTGGCACTCACACAGTCAATAGTGACCGACTACGCACACCATCCTCAAAAACGTTTTCTCCTGCTTTTTTTAGCTTGGTACAGCTCTGTTTGCAGCAAGATCCTGAGAAGAGGTAATATTGGTCACCTCTAAATAGCACAAAATGTACTTTATATGTTACAGGAGCTTTGTGATACTGTACTTCCCATAAAACTCAAATGTCTTGATCAAAATATTCATCTAACCTAGAAAATATTAATTTCAGAGAACAAATAGAAGTGATCAGCAAATGGAAAGAGCACTGGGTTCAAACCCAGAAGAGCTGGGCTCCTCTCATAGCTACGCCATTTCCTAGCCAGTCCAGCTTGTAAAGATAAGTTATTTTTCCCAGACATTAGTTAAGACAGTTTTAGAAACGTCAAGCAGTATAAAAAAAAACCATTTGCTGGGCTGGAGATAGCTCAGTGTTTGAGAGCATTGACTGCTCTTGCAGAGGACCCAGGTTCAATTCACAGCACCCACATGGAGACTAACAACTGTCTATAACTCCAGTTCCAGGGGATCTGATACCCTCTTCTGACCTCTACAGGCATTGCATGACATGGGCACTTACACATATGCAGGCAATAGGCTCATACACATAAAATAAAAATAATATTTTAAAAAAGCATTTGATGCTAGTTTATATGCTAATACTAATTATTATTTTAAGTAGCTATATATTAACATTAGCATTTTAGAAAGAATATATGTACATCTTACCTTTTTTAGCCTTTCATCCTGGCATAGTTCCTTGTGAATAGTATGTGCCTAATAAATGTTGAGTGTGGGTTGATTGAAGGACATTTCCAGAATTATGTCTTCCTACCAGTCAAGGCTGTTGCTAAGAATTACTTCTAATATGTGTTATTTTTTCTTTCTAATTTTTTAGTATTGCATTTTATAATTCTAAACCTCATTTCTAATATAATTGTATGCCTAAATTCTGCATTCTGGTAGTTATATTTCCTAACAAAGTTTTCAAAAATTTCAGGCCATCAGCAAGCAGTTTATTGTCCCATGCATTCTTCAAACAGGTGAGCTGGTTTGTTGTCTAAAATGTTTTTAAATACTGTTAAAAAGTTGATTTCTTTTGTTGACTTCATAGATATTCTAGTCACCAAAAGTTTTTATAGTAACTGTCTTGCAAAATAGAGTTAAAAACAAGAAAACATTTTTAGTAGTTTAATTTTAGACCTCTTTATATTTTGTGTGTGTTGGGGGGGAGGTGGTGGTGGTGGTGGCGGCGGCGGCGGCAGTTAGAGGACAACTTCCAGAAATCAGTTATCTCTTTCTACCATGTGTGTCCCAGGGATCAAACTCAGATCATTAGGCTTAGTGGCAAGCACCTTTACCTGCTGAACTACCTTGTCAACCCCAATTACAGAATTTCTAAAAGATATTTATTCTGTAAAACAAGATGAGTAAAATGAGGGAAAACAACATGTCACATATTACTAGATGCTCAGAGTGTATTTTCATTAACTTAAATATGGTATCTATAGTACCTAGAAATAATGAAAGGGTAGAATAATTCTGATTAAAAATCAGTTTATTTTGCTTTTAAGCCTTTCTGTTTTCTGGTTATCAGAATCAGAGACATTTAAAGAGAAAAGACCTTAAAGTAATTTTAAAGTTTTTAAATGATTTATTGCTAATCAAACGTGTTGAATTTATGTGCCCACGTCCTTACTTGAGTTTCTTTAACAGATGAAAGAAGAAAGCCAGGACTCCATACTCTCACTGCTGCCACCTGCATATAACAAGCCAGCAGTGGCACTGGCCCCAGTGGCGCCATGGACTGAGCTGGAATGCGACTTTCCAGATGCCATAGACCCAGACTGGGCATTCTAGGGCTGCCAAATCATTTCATGTCCTATATACTTGACAGTTTCTCCTTGCTGCTTTTTCTTCTGTATTATTAGGTACAAATACCAGAACTATACTTGAAAATACAGTTGGTGCACTGGAGAATCAATCACTTAAAACCCACTCTGTTTGTGGGGCATGAATTTATCACCCTCTGTTTGGATCAGAGTGCCTTCACAACTCCAACATCAGAATTACTAATCCAGCTATATTTAGTGTCATCTGTTCCTGATTTTTTTCCCTCCAAGCTGTGACTACTCTCTGGATCTCAGTGTAATTTTTGAGCCAGTTAATTTTTTTTTTCTGTATTTTGCTATCCTCTGAGGAATGAGCCCTCAGAGAACAGTGCTTACAAGGACATCTTTATCTTCCAGAGTCTAGCTTTTTGGTCAGCTGTTGTTAGACCAGCAGGCTAGTTTATCCTGGTACAAAGACCTTTCTTGGAGAAGGGAAAAGGTTCATATTATCCTTTTTACATACAGTAACAAACTGAGCCTCACATTAAATGATTCACTTGAAATATATAGAGAAAATGTAACTTGCATTTTAAAGGGGGGGAGCTAAATCAACACTTTTCTACCTATATAAATTATAAATCCTTAATTCATGCACCCTGTGGGAGCTCAATAAAGATTTATTAAATTGAATGTATCTTTTTTTTATTTCGTACTTAAAGCTAGAGCAGATTCTAATTTGTTTTACTTAGAAAAACTTTCTCAAACATAATTTACAACTTCCTATTCTGAATTGATAAAGCCTGAAGGCATTCTTGCTATTTATATGATTTTTTTGTTGTAATGGGGTAAAACCTTTAAAATTAATTAAAATGAACAAGTTCTGTAGGCCCAGAGAATTATGAATTGTTGAATCTAGAAATTTAACTATTGCTAGAGAGTAAAGTTTAGTAACACCAAATGCTAAGCACAGATAACTTCAAATGGAGAATTAGCAAACTGTATGGACAGGGATGATTTAGTTTAACAAATGTTGGGGAAATTAGAGACTATTTCACTCCAAAGTTGAATTGCAATGATGCCTGAAGAAAGGGGAAAAATCGGGAACAAAATTTTGCTAGTGAGTGCCAACTGAATATGCATTTCTGAGTTTGTCCTGAAAGATTTATAAACAAAAACATGTTTACATCAAATGTGTTTATTTTTCATTTTAATCATAACAAAATGGCTTTAATAAGATGAAATTTGGTTGTTGACTTCTTATCACACACAGGACAGATCTCCAAACCATTTTGTCAATGGAAGAAATTACATTCTGATTGTTGGCCTCACACATCATTCTGCCGTGTCTAGCATCTGGATAATGTCACAAATGAGCAGACGCTTTTCAATATCCTCTTAATTTTCTTTTTGGCCTCATTTTACGTATCTCATAATCTGGGATTGTATCATATAAATGAACTAAGCCTGCTGAAACCATTCGAGGACTTGCAAATTTTCCAGTGGCACTTTCTTGTCGTTTGTTAGGCTCTGGAGCAGTAGATGGCCGTACACAGTATTTTGCCTGATTGTGGGTATCTTCTGGACTCTTTCCTAAAAGTCTTGCTCTTGATTTTGATTTTTTAGGACGTTTAATTGAGGGTACATGTAAATCCTCGAATTTATCCAAACAATCCTAAATATTGAAACAAAACATCAAAACGGTAAGTTAGTCTTCTTAAAAGTACATTTTAACGTTGTAAGGACTAATGTTTGTAATATCAACAGTTATGTTTCTTGAGTAGTCCCCAATGCACATCCTTTACCCAGTGCTTCCCATTAGATCTATCAAAGAAACCATGTTTTAAAAAAATCTTACTATTTCAAAGAATCTGCTGTTTTGAAAGAGGTGGAAGATAGGAAGGTGGAATTCAGACAGAATTCAAGGAGCTGTCCTTTAATGGTGTCAGACTCCAAGGCAACATGGCCAACCTAGTCTACTATTCTTATCTTCCAAATTATCTTTCCATGACCCCAAATATAATTATGAACTTTATAATTTTACTTTTTTATCATCCAAACTAATTGTTCTGTCTCTAAAAATTAATAAGCATCTCTGCTAGTATATGTATCATATATATGGATTATATATGCAGATAACATAGGATAACATCCAAGAATATAATTTCAATAATTTTTTATATTTTTATTTATTTTTATTTTATGTGTATGAGGGTATCGCCTGCATGTATGTGAGTGCACCTGTGACGTGCAATGCCATGTCAGAAGAGGGCTTTGGATTCCCCTGGAACTGGAGTTAAGGATGGTTCTTAGCCGCCATGTGGGTGCTGGGAATTGAACCTGGGTCCTCTACAAAAGCAGTCAGTGCTCTTAACTGCTTAGCCATCTCTCTAGCCCCATTACTTGTTTGTATGACACAGAAACTGCTATACAACCAGAACTAGCCTCTAACCCTGAATCCTCCTGTCTCAGTCTCCTGAGTATTGAACTTATAAGTGTATACCACACACAGCTTAATGATTATAATCTTTACATTGAAAGTAATTCTCCAAGTGTGGTGACTTAGGCCTGTAGTCCCAGCACTCAGAGGGAGGAGGCAAGAGGATCACCATGAGTTTGAGGCTACAAGGTGAAACCCTATCCCCCCCAAATTTTTTTCTACTTATATTCTGAAAACAAAGCCAAGTGAAAGATTCAGAAAAGCAATTGGATAACACCAAAATAATAAGAGAAAAAAAGGCTGGGCATGGTGGCACACGTCTGTTATCCCAGCACTTGGGAGGCAGAGGCAGGTAGATCTTTGTGAGTTTGAGGCCAGCCTGGTCTACATAGTGAGTTACAGGACAGCTGGGTCTACAGGGAGACCCTGTCTCAAAAAGACCAAAAAATAAAAAAATGTAAAATTTTTTTAAAAAAGAAAAAAAGTAATGGTTCTTTTCAAATATTTCTGGCTATATTTTATAATAAAATATGAAAATCTATACATATCCCTAGAAGGGTATTGCACTGTTAGTCATACAGTGGTGTAAGCTACTTTATCTGCAGTTTGAGTAGTTCATTTCTTAATAGGGGGAAAAGATAGCCACAGCAAAGGAAATGGACTAGTTGAACTGTGGAGTCAGGAAGGTTTTGAAGGACTGATTAAGAATTTGGGCTACCAGAGAGATTTCTACAAAAGTAAAGACTGAAGAGTCTAAAACCCAGTTCTACCTACTTGAGGTTTTTGTCTGGGTTTGGAGAATGCAGGGAAGCATTCCCTTTCCTCTTCCTCTCCCTCTCTTCTTTCTCTCTTTCTCCCCCTCTCTCTCCTTCTCTCCCTCTCCTTCTCCCCTTTCTCCCCCTCCCCTTTCTCCCCCTCCCCTTTCTCCCTCTCCCCTTTCTCCCTCTCCCCTTTCTCCCTCTCCTCCCTCTCCCTCTCCATCTCCCTCTCTCTGAGACTGGTTCTTACACTATAGCCCAGGCTGGTCTGGAACTTGCTAGCTTAGAACTCATTATGTAGTCTAGGCTGGCCTCCAACTTAAGGAGGTCATCCTGCTTTGGCCTTTTGAATGCTGGAGTTAACAGGTGTGTGTCACCGTGCCCCTAAGTCCTCTTTCCTCTAATGTACATAGAACAATGAGTTCAGCCTCATTAAGGGTTTCTGCTGCATTAGTAATTATTAATAACTTGCTGATAACCAGGGTATCAGTTGAAAGACATGGAGATCCACTTGTTCCTAGATTGTTAAAAAGATTATCCTCTTTTAAAGAGGATAGAAATATGAAACTAGAAACAAGACAAACTTAAGCTGTCTTCTGGGGTCAGACTCCTGCAATTCATTTTTTCTCCCTTCTCATTGATTCATTTCAGAAATTCTTAGATTTTAGAAAATAAAAATAGTTTGTCTTTATAGGCATTTGACAAATGCCCTAGCTCCATTTTTTTCTCTCTGTTGTCCATTATACTAAAGATAAAAGTTGAGGGATACTTGTCTTAATGTAGAGAAATAACCATGAAACTATCCTTGCTGGCTATTACAATGCAGAAAGGGTTGTAAGTACTGGGGAGATAGCTCAGCTGGTGAAAGTGCTTGCGATGCAAGCATTAGGACCTACCTGAGTTCAATTCCCAGAACCCACATTAAAAAAGCTGGGCATGGTAACGAGAGTGTATAATTCCAGAGCTGGAGAGGGGGCAACCAGAGGCTCTCTGGAACTTGCTAGCTAGCCAGCCAAGCCTAATTGGCAAGTTCCAGGCCAGTGAGAGACCCTGTCCCAAAAGCAAAAACAAAAAGACCCAAGGTTGATAGCACCTGGGGAGCAAGAACCAAAGTTCAGTTCTGGATTCCACACACAGGTGCACATACACCCACATCACACAGACATGCACATCCACACAAAGGGTTGTAAGATCATGCATGATTTTAAACCATTTAACAGAATTTTATTTCATTTGAAAAAATCATATTAAAATACTTCATTTGTCTAAAAGAACTTCAGAAAGTTTTTTTTCAAAAACTTTGCACTTATTTCTTTCTTTTCCTAATCTGCACACACACTCTAGCTTAATACTAAATTACTGAATTTAGATAGAAAAAATAATCCAAAATTATCCTACTGCTACATGACTGATAGACTATAATACACATAAATATAGAACTATAAGATATTTGCCCTGCTGCTATAAAGTGAATAGCTTTCTTACTGCATAAAACAATCTCAAACTATACTGAAATTAGATTTGTTTTCCCATTTCAAGGCAGAATTATGCACATTTTGATTTAAGACTAGCTTCAGATAGTATCAGTTTTCCCAGTTATGAGTCATACTTCTTTTATATACATATAATTGGAGAAGAGCCATGGACCAAAGAATTAAAAGAAGTGCCTCTATTCTTAGATTTTAACTTTGCTTTAGAATGTAAAAAAAAAAAATCTTAGTAATAAACTTATCATCCTTATCAATTTTGTCAATGTTAAAAATAGAGTTTTCAAGATCTCATGATGTAATATAGCAAAGGAGGTGGTAAAAGACAAAAAGAGTAGACATTCAAAGCATTCAATTCTAATCCAATAAAGCATAAATTTTATACATCCCTAACTCTTAGCAAAATAAGAGCTTCATATTTATTTACTGAACAGATAATTCGGCTATCTGAAAAAAACCCTACCTGTATATTTATAGCCATATCTCTGGGAAAAGAAAGTCTCAGCTCTGTTACCATGGTATCTGGTAACTGGTGGCTGTATAGGCTATGCTGCACAGCACCTTGGGCTAATTTCAGCCAGGGTAGTCAGCCAGCCAGGCTTCCAGAGGCAGGACTGTGCCTGGGCTCCAGGTTGTGTCAGTCTGGAGGGCTTGTCCAGAGGAAAAAAAGTTTTTTCTAGTTTATATCCCAGACAGGGTACCCTTTACCTACTTCATAAAAGTCAATCCAGTTTTGTGATTATATTTTGAATTAGGCAAGGAAATATTTGAATTTCAAAAGAATTCTTAAACTTGGAGATCTGTATATCTTGAGGTAATTAAAATTTTACACACACACACACATACACACACACACATTTAGAAGGCATATATATTCTAAGGCAAATTATTTACAGAACTTTGCAAAATACAGAAGAAAATACTTAGAAAAATCATTACATGTGTAGTTCTTCTTGCAGTCCAGTGAAATAAAGTCTTTGGAACAGATTTCCTTAGATGAGTTCTTGTGGTGGGCAGTGTGGCTGGTAGTATCCTAACTATCTCATGAAAGGACTTTTTTGGTTTGGCAGCATGGTCTCTTTCTTTTCTTTTCAATTTCACATTTTCTTTTTTCCATACTTCCGGGGAGAAGGATGGCCTAGAGTTTTTGTCATCTTCTTTATATTTAAATGATTGTGATTCAGAGATCTTGGCAGATTTTTCATTGCAAACTTTGTATGGGTTTATATAAAGAATTTCCATTTCATTCTTGAATTGTGCAAATGTTACCAAGTGTTTTTTATTGTTGTTGTTATTTCCTTTCCATCTCTGACAATACTGGTCTAATTTTGACAGTTCCCCACTCTCTGAGTTGACAGGAATGAAAGTATTAGTCTGCCAGGAAGGGAAAGGGAGTCTGTTTAAATATTCTTCATTTTCCCTTGGAATTTTATAGGTAGGGATTTTTGGATAAGGTGACAACCTTGCTTCAGGTTTTTCTTGAACAATTAATTTAATGTTCTCCCTTTTGTCAACAGGCTTCATTTTTCCTGTCTTTTCAAAGCAAGGTTTTGATTTACCATCCCAACTATATGGGTCTTGAATCTCTATTTTATAAACAGAATTTTCTGCTCGAGGAAGTTGCATGAAACCATCATCTTTCTTGTGTTTCTTGAGCAATAAATCTGCAGGTTTTTCTAGTGCCTTATTTAATGGAAGTGCCTGGATATTTTTGTTTGAAGGTTGTATTTTTATTAAATTTAGTGTTTTACCTTCTTTAGTGTAATCATTTTTCTGTTCCACTATTGTTGGCGGATCTTCTTTTAAATTGTGTAGGAAAGAATATCCCTTTTCCTCCTTTCTGATCAGTTCTGTTTCTCCATGTTTATCCTCAGAAACCTTTTGTGAAGTGGTGTTTTGACCAATTTTTGAATATTTTTTTTGTTCTTCTGAATCCTCCCTCATAAAGTAATTTTCATCTCTAAAGGATAAATCTGTTTTTATGTATTTTAATGGTATAGAAGTAGAGTGAAATAAATTCATTTGCTCGTTGATCCCCATTAGTTGTCTTTCTGTCATTAGTCCTGATTTTGAAAGTTTTTCTACAAAAAGGATCTGGAGGTATTTACTTAAATTAGCTTTTAGATTTAATAATTCATTTTCTGATAAAGCTCTAAGATAATTTTGTAGAGGTTTATTTAAAGGATATTTCATGTTTATTTCAAGCCTTCGTCCAAAACTCCCCCTTGAAATATCTTGCCCTAGCCCATGAAGAGACATTGGGGCCCTTTGACTTCTTAGAGAAGATATGCTGGAGTGCATAATCACAGCTTTTGTGTCATTAAATAAACTGCTCACTGAAAGGTTCTCCAGGAAATAATTTTGGAGAATTTCATTTAGAAAAGATCTTAATTCTATTTCTAAATGTTTATCTATGAAGTGATGGTTAAAATTATTTATGAAAGACATGATTTCTTTTACAGTTTCACAATATTTCTCCTTAAAGGGGTTTTGTTCTTTTAATTCGGCCTTCTCATTCATCAGATACAGATTTTGGTAGATTTTTGGTAAGTCTTCCTTGGTGATGTGGCCTGATTCTGAAAGTCTTTCTACAAGGTAATGCTGGATGTGTTTACTTAACTCAGACTTTAAATTTTTCACTTCTGATTCTGAGAGTTCTTCTAGAAACATACGCAGCTTTAGATTCAAAATGGGTTTTCTTTGTACTTTGTCTGCTTTATTAAAATTTTCTTGAATTTTTTCAAAGTGTTCTCTACTATTTGATAAAGAATGTTGAATTAGTCTTTCTAATTCTTTTACTGGTTGTCTTCTTTCAGACTGATTATATTTGAAAAAAATATTGAAGATACTTTTTAGAAAGGATTTTAACATTGTTGTATCTGACTCATTAAGTTTACCCAATGACTTACTTAAACTTTCTAAAGTAGAAGTTAGATCATTTTCTTCTGTATGAAGACTCTGACCTTCATTTGGCAAATCTGATTTTTCAAATGGTGTTGAAGATTTTGATTCTTGTAAGGGCATGTTTGGGCTGTCTTCTGTGTATTGAGAAGTGTTTTGGTGGGGAATGATAGGTGTATTCTGTCCTGAAAGAAGTTCTGTTTCATTTTTGACATCTGAGGGTTCCTCTGAGGAATTCTTAAGCTCTTTCTCGGGAAAAGCCGTTTTTGTATCCAGCAAAGAGCTGTGGTATTCTTTATCGAGTTCTATCACTTTTATTACCCCAGATTCTAAAAGAGTATCTACAGGAAATGATTGTATTATTTGGCTTATAACAGATTTGGGCTGTGACAATTGTACTTCATGGTCTGTTTCTTCATAGTCAAGAATATTCAAAGCCACATTTCTCTTCCAAGATGTGAGCAACTGATCCTGCAAAGCCATCTGTGCCTCACTCAGCACCTTCGATCCTAAACCCAGTTGTGAGAACATGGGTGTGGTGAATATTTGCTTTATAGCATAGTCATATATACTACCATTTAAACCCAGTTTAGAGCTAGATACTTCACTTACTAAATGTTTTCTTTTGAAACTACTCTTTTTTTTAAATGGAAAATCTTTTTCATTAAACTCTAAGTGGTTTTCAGAGACATCTTCTACCTCTGGAGATTTTCCTGGTTCACCTTCTGGAAGTGAATCTGCAGGAATACTTTTAATTACCGGACTTAAAAGAGACTGGGAATTTAAAATGTCTTTTGGTGAAAGCCAGCTGCTTATATCTTGGACTTTTTCAAATACTTTATCTTCCATACCACTCGATGGCCTATCATGAATGCTTGCAAGTGGAGATGAACTTTTCTGTATTGCTTCAGTGTTTATACAAACTTCTGCTTCAGAAAATAACTTGTCTGAAAGGTCTTGCAGATTTTTACTTAAAATTGACTTGAGTACCATTGACTGGTTTAAATTTTCAATATCAGAGGTAAAATCTAATGATTTAGAGGGGTGATACATATTTACATTTCCAGTTATTGATGATTCTCTTTTGAAGTTTGGTAAAGATAGATTTAGTAGTCTTTCTTGTAATTTATTCTGCATATCTGAAGTTTCCCTTGTGAAGATACAGGGATTAAGCACAAACTTTATAGTGTCTGAAATCTCTGTTGTGTTGATAGAAGGATCACATGACAACTTATTCTTAGTGTCTGAAGTCTTTGTTGTGATGCTAGAAGGATCACATGACAACCTATTCTTAGCCTCTGAAGTCTTGGTTATAATGATAGTAGGATTACCACTTGACAGTTTATTCTTAGAGTCTGAAGTCTTTGTTGTGGTGATAGACCGATCAGAAGACAACTTATTCTTCTTGTTTAACATCTGTACTGTGATGAGATTAGGATCATCTGCCCAGGTTATGCTTGTAGTTTCTGCAGATTTTAAATGTGTTGGGTAAGGAGGGTCTTGGTCTTCATACTCTAACACCTCTGCACTTAAAATGTTTGGACATTTGTATATATCTTGGTCTTCCTTTTTTCTGAATGACGTTTTGCTGTTTATACTCCTTAGAAAAGGATCAAGATCACCCTTGCTGATTTTCTGAAATTGCAATATAAAAAAAGGTAAGAAATTCCTTAGCATTTATCTAGAAATTATTGACTTTTTAAAGTCAATTTTCATTGAGCAAGTTGTCAATTTATTCATCCTCTTACCTTTTAGAAAGGGAGAAAATTAACTTTATTTTAAAATATTTGAAGTTGGAATGAAAATAAATTTTTAGTGAAAATATTTCAGATTCCAAATTCTAACACTAGTTATATCCATATGCATTTTGCTACCAGGAATTTTCTAGGTTAGGTACTAGGGTTACTAGCTCTTTAAATGATTTTTCCTACCTTATTTATTGTCTATATATTTTATTTTTTGAGATGAAATCTCCTTGTGTTGTCCAGGCAGTCCTGGAACTCCTGGGCTCAAGCAATCCTCCCACCTCATACCACCCTGTCCTATACAAAATCTTTAAACACTTAAAAGCTACCCTTAAATAGTTTCTTTTAATGACTAAATTTAGCTGTGTTTGCTTAGGAAGTAATCAGCTAATACCAAGGTTAAAAATCTCATCCATTATATAGTTAGTTAGTTTTAGCAGCAATATCAGAAATTTTTAAAAATGCAAACAGGTAGTAGATGACCCAGGACATTCTTTAAAGATTATCTTAGGGGCATATATCACCTGTAATCCTGAGAGTTTCAACAATGAAAGGCTCCTTACCATGTCACAGTAAAACCTTGCTTTTTGAGTATACAGTATGTGACTTAAAGAGGGCAAAGAGAAAACAATATAAAAATCTGTGCTTCAGAGTGAAATCTCTGATTCCATTTCCAGATTGAGATTGATTAAGTTAGACGAGCTTGGAAATATATATTTTTAAAGGGACTCAGGCATT